GCTTCAGCTTAACTAAAAACAATGCATTGACCAAACTACCAACTCAAATTCCCACTATTTCTTTTTTAAACAACCAATACCTCTTCATTTTCCCTCCCAATCAATACACTGTTTGGGTACCCCCTCCTCTAGGGTTTCAGGTTTCTACTCCTGTTCTGTTCTGTTCTGTTCTGTTCTGTTCTGTTCTGTTCTGTTCTGTTCTGTCTGCCCAGTTCTTCTGCTGCATTTCACCATTTAGAATCCTGAATGCTTCTGCTGCATGATCGCTATCTTCCAAATTGCATTCCCTGCTGCAGCTGCCGCTCCTCCTCAGCTGTGGTCACTGTCAGGTCTAAAAGACCTGTCCCCTTGCTGGCTTCCCTATCTCCCACATTAAGAAGTTGTCATCGTCACATTTCACTTGTCAGCAACGTGATGCATGAATCAGGTATTTCCTTTTACTCTTTCATCTTGGCAGCACATAAGAATTAGTGTCTAATGACACAGAGGCAAAAAGTTAATGGAAATTTAATTGAAAAAACTACCATCCCAGCAGGAATTGAACCCGATGGCCTTAACAGGAAGGAGATTTTTCATCCACAAGGCTTTGGAGTTTGGTTTAACATACTTGATATAGATAGGTATCGCTTTAGTAAACAGTTAATTCCCAGACTTTCCCAGTATTACTTTGGTCGACAAAATGAAGAAGAGTGGATTCCAATTTAAATGTCAGGGCTATCTACTGTAAGGATTCTGAGCAGGGGAGGTTTAATGAAAATAGGATTTAATTTCCTGTAAATGTTTGCATTCTTCAACCTAATATATAGAAATGAATATTTATACATATGAAATGCATCTTTCTCTTAGAACAGCATTTAGTCAGTCATACCCAAAGGGACTCCAGGAAAAATTTTTTCAGGCATTATGAGTCATATCTTAGATTTTTCTAAAGGAAATGACATTATCTGAACATTTTTATACCTCTTTTCTTTATATTTTTCTCCAGAAGCTTAAATTACATTTTAAGATGGGTACAGTGTTCAGTTTTGATGACTCAATGCAGTAGAAGCCTGCAGAATTTTAAATCATTGGGCTATTATAATGTATTTTTATGTTTAATTAATTAAGATTCATTAACTAGTCTCTTATAGCCAGATTAACCTACAACCTTCACCCAGTCTACAGTACTTAAGTTTTCCTGAGCAACACAGGAGCATTTCAGACCATAGAGAGGCTAGGAACAGGGTCTGTCCTCGGCCCTGCATTTACTGTCTACATTTTAGAGCATTCCGCTGTTTCTTCATGCTAGTTAAATGGCTGTGTGCATTACAATGTGTAATCTTTACTAAATTAATCCTCAAATTATTAAAAAATGCTAAACAATTTATAGAAAGAAATCACATCTTGAAAATATTACAAAATATTAAAAGCAAAGTAAACAGTAGGAAAAAGACAATGAAGTAACTATCGTGAATTGAGATGTTAACTAGTGATGACACAAAATCATCTTGATTAGGAAGAATTCGAAAGACAAGCACATGGAACTTGAATGCAACATCCACTGTGTGTCTACATTAAAGACCTATAGATAGGCATTTCAGGTCTGATAAAGTGTTACTAAATTCGGCAATAAATATTTAGAAGCCTCTATTTTGTACAAAGGAAAAATGGTTTCTGAAGTGTTAATAAATAAATACAGTTTTGTGTTTCTAAAATATTTTAATTTTTATCTTTATTTCATTATGTGGAGATGCTTAAAATTGCATTAATGAAATATTGGATCAAAAAAATTTCTAGATCTCTGCTCTAGTGAGGATGTGGTGGTAATAATGTTTTTAGATATCTGGGACTTTTCATTTTTCCTAATTTTTGTTTTTGATAGCATATGTTATTTATAGTAAATGTAAAGATAAATCCCATGCTTTGGCTTAGTGGTTAACAATCTACAGAGAATCAGATAAACCTGGGTAGAATCTCTCCACTGTACCATTTGCTAACTAGGTAACTTTTAGAAAGTTATTTAAGCTCACTTTCCACATTTGCAAGGTAGAAATGCAACACCCATCTACAGGCTGAGACAAAGCACAGAAACACTTAGTGGGTCTTTTGATACGTGGTAGGAGGGTGTTAAATTCAAGCTATGACTGTTATCATTGTGATTGCTGCCTCGTCTTCCACGTAATCAGCCTTCCTTGCTTTTGATCATTCCTCCTACATGCCTTTCCACCAGCTGTTCATGTTCAAATATCTGTGCTTTTTACTTCATTTAAATACCACCGGCATGACAAGGTTTATTACCCCCTCATGCAGGTGGTAGTTAATACTGCCTAGCCAGGGCAACTTTCTCCTCCATGTGCAAATAACACTTTAGCTACATTCTTCTTATAGAACTTACAGTTTTCTATCTTGCACAGAATATATATGACATATACTATATATGAATCACTGGTGTATGTAACATCTGCCTTCCTAAAGAAAGAGTGTCTTGAGGACATCGGTCATTTCTTATTCATATGTGTCCTTCATAAAGCATGCAACATTAAAACTTGCCCTTAGTAGCAATCAATAAATATGAGTCCAGCAGTGTATAATGTTCGCTTGAAGGCAAAAATGCCAGGCAATGAGAAGGGTCATCGGGTGATCAATATTTCAGTCTTTGTTTCTAATCTCTCATACATGTTACAGTAAATAAGGTGATACAATGTTTATGTAGGCAGGAGCGTGAAACTTCCTTTCTGTCCTCTCTTCCCAGTGACTTTGGGGAAGCTATGTAAGTAAAAATTGGGAGTTGAGTCAAATATCTAAGGACTCATCTGGTTAAAAACCTGGTATGATGTGAATCTCAAATGTGAATTTAAAAGATACTTAAGAGATTAGTAAAGCACATATCTGGGCATATCTGGGTGAATCATGAGAGTGTGACCTCAGGGACTAAAGTAGTACCTTCCTTTCTAGCTCTTTTTAACCCTCTCCACTTTCTGGTTGCCATGAAGTGAGCAGCTTTTCTTTGCCAAACTCTTCTTCTGCGATGTTTCTACCTTAAATCCAGCGACCATGAACTGAAACTTCCAAAACTATGAGCCAAAATAAACCTTCAACTGGCATGTGTCAGATATTTTGTCCCAGCTCTAAAACATCAACTAATACACCTAGAATCTCACAGCTCAGACACCAATTGTGCCTACAGAACTGAAGGAATAAGTGGAGGAACTAAAGCATCAAAACCAAGGTATCACAAACAGGACGACAGTACCCTACCATCAAAGTGGAAAACCAGAAAACAGCACAAGGATGTACATGAGGAGCAAAGTATTGGTTAAATCTAAGGTCAGAGCTAGGGAAAAGTCCATCAGACCAACGACAAGACTCCCAAACACAGGCTGAACAGGAATGGGCATTTGTCAGGCAGTGGTTAAGCAAATAAGTAACAACAACAACAAACACAATCCACATCAATGTTCAATGGAGTTCAATGGAGTTCAATGGAGGTAAGTGAATATGGGCACAAAGGTATCAAATGAATTTTTTTAAAAAAATGGTAAGGATATCATTTATATGTTATGTTAATTAGCTTGATTTAATGTTAAACAGTACATATATCAAAATGTCAGGATGTACACCATAAGCTTATACAATTTTTAGTTGTAGAAACCTAAATGGAATTGTAAGCTAATCCAGAAATTATCAATGACAGGAAGCCACAACACCTTAGCTAGTCTCAAATACATTGTCCCAAGCAATCAACTGAAGGGAGAAATACCTTGGCCGCTTCCTTTTCCCTACATCTGATGACTCTCATTGGCCAAACTTAGCTAGCAAACACTTGGCAAGATCATCTGGAAATGTAGTCTATTGGGGTCCATGCCATGCAATATAAAACAGAGCAGGGAAAATGAGAAATGAATCTGGGAGCAAACAGGCAACTAACCAACCAGATGGTCTTGGAGCAAGATTCTGAGACAATTTTTTTCCCAAGTGGGCTTTCTCCTGATCTGTGATTTTTCTTTGAAGCTCCTAACTGCAATTGCCATAAAGCAAGGATGGCAGACCTTTCTGAGCTTTCAGTGATACAAAAAGCCCACTGGGACTCATGTGCATGGATTTGCCACCACTGTTATAGAGTATTGATGCTTTGGGGTAACTAAGAAGAAAGCCGGTCTTCTAAAAAGGGCATAAAGAAGACCCCATTTTATACAGACCCTGTTCTATAACACTCAGCTGTGGAAGTTTGAGAATTCTTCCTTAGGTGCTTTTAGCTGTGTTATATTTGCCTATAACTAGTGCTGCCCTGGAGCAGTGCATCCCAGATTAGAACACTAAGCCCTGTATTTCCAAAAGGAGACTGATCTCATTGGCTTCACCAATTTAACACCTCACTGTAAAGCATTACTGCGGCATTAACAATCAACCCATGTCCCAGTGCTAGTTTGATCCTTCCAAAAAATGCAAGAAGCCCATCAGTGAGTTTTCCTACGTAGGAGCCCTGAAAAGCAATGAACTTCCCTTTTTCCGGACCTTGTTCTTTTTGTGTATTTCACAGTGACACTGGTGGACTTAGAGTCCTCATGGGTAAAACATACAGTAAAATGATACTACAAGCATATTGAACTTACTTTCAATTGTATTTGCCAGGGGAGAGAGAAAAGAGCTGCACGGAGTGTGGATAAGAAGCACAAAAAAGAAAGAAAAGAAGAGAAAATTTCCATGTCTGTGAGCAATTCGACTAACCATTTCACCCAGCAAGCAAATAGTCTGCCTGGAGTGAGCCAGTGATGGGAGATGCGAATCCACTCTGCCCTGAGTCAATCTCCACTCTTACTTATCTCTCCAATGCTCTTGGCAAGATGCTAATGTTCAAAGATATAGCACTGTAAAATATCATTTTTACACAGTATTTTGAGCTACACGTATACTATCATATATACCAATAATTCTGTGTGCTATGTAAGCCACATGTGCTGCATGAAATGGACAAATTAAGACTTTTTAAAGGAAGAATTTAAAATATAATAGATTCTCACCTTCCATGTTGATGTCAGAACAAAATCCTGCTATATGGCTTCATTCTACTGCATCCACACTGGGACTGAAGATTCCACTGAGAGGTTGGCAATGCTGCAGAAACAGGAGAAAAGGAAGCTCCACATTTCACTGAACTGAGGGAGAATAGTTTAAACTTACTGTGGTTCAGGATCTGCCCTCATAAACTACTTATCCTCCTAGAAGAACCTCTGAATGTCCCGATACTGCTTTGGGATTCACCACAAGACTAAGCCTGTCACAGTCATCCCCCATTATCCCTGAGGAATATGTCCCAAGACCCCAGTGGGTGCTCGAATCCATCAATAGTACCAAATCCATCAATAGTACCAAAGCCTACATATGCTGTTTTCCTTTACACATACACACCTACAGTAAGGTTTCACTTATAAATTAGGTACAATAAGAGGTCAATAGCAATAATTAGTAGTCAAGTATAGTGTTATCCCAATGTATAGTAATAAAAGTTATGTGACTGTGATTTTGCTCTCTCAAAATCCCTTACTGTACCGTAAGTGTTTCCACTTAATGGAAGCACTTCCAACTGCTTGGTGTATCCAAATTGCCAGCAGGCCGTTATTAAGGAAAATAAGGTCTAACTGAAGGCAAGCACTGTAATCTGATAATTCAGAGGGATGCTAATGATGAATGAGCAAATAACTACACAGCATGGAGATGCTGGGGAAAGTCATGGTTCATCTCCATGCAGGATGGAGCATGGCTTGAGATTTTATCACGCCACTCAAAACAACTGGAAGTTATACTTAGGCATTGTTTATTTCTGCAATTCTGTATGTGATAATTTCTGACCTTAATTGACTACAGGTAAGTGAAACCATAGATAAGGCAAACCACTACACTTCCTTTTCTGTGTCTCAGCTATCCCTCTCATAAAGCAGGAGCATAATACATAGTTTTTCTCTTCACAAAAGAATATACAGAGATTAGAGCCAATTACTCAGTAAATAATTCTTCCATGCTGAATTCTCTAGAGAATGCAAGAAGTCAGCCAAATTCTTGGTTTCAATAACTCATCGTGGGTCCATTCACCTCAAAGACGGCCAGCTTTGGCCAAAGATTAGACAAGTACAAAAGTCACTTCGAACAACAACAAAAAAAAGCAATATGCTAATCTAATTCGATGTATCAAGAGAACATTTTCCCAACTTTAATTGACATTTTAAAAGTTACATCATATCAGCTTCAGTTTCTCACTTCAATTTTGTAGTATAACCAAAATACATAAACAACCAACCAAATAAACCAGGAAAATCAAGTTGAGTGTCTCCCATCTGAAAAGTTGCCATCAGTACATGCTGTATTACATGGACTCTGTGCTGAGCTCCCCACCCTGTGGCGTTCCACAGCATGGCTCTCTCTAACATGCCAGGTCAATGCTGAGAAGGAACTTAAACCACAAAGGACCAAAAAGCAAATATTTTTGCCTGAAGCTAATGTAGCAAATTACATGCAAGATCTAAATTCCAAGAACCTCTTAAATGGTGCAAGTCTACACAAACACACTGTATCCAGGTTTTCAAGACTTAAAAACTAAATTAAATCTCAATCAAGCATCACTGGGGGATTTATAGAAGCAGTTAAAGGATGTCTCAGCAGGAGCCCTCACTTCTCTGGTCCTCTTGGTCAGGAATTTCTCGCAGTGGACATCTGTCTGCCTGTCTAAGAAGCTACCTTGTGCCCTCACTCACAGGAATGGAAAGAACATAACCAGGACATTCAGAACTCCGTGCAAGACAGTTATCTATGCATGATCTAAAAGTCACCCACAATATCTTCTAGTGAGTCATCAGGTACTCTGATTGGGTCATCCCATATAACCTGCTAAAGATTATAGAAGGAGCCAAAGCCAAGTCCTCTTTCTGCCTTGAGTTGGCTGCACCCACTGAAGGAAGCCACCTCTTCTTCACACAGTGATGCCACCTGCCATGAGGACCAGAAGGCTCATGATCTCAAAACAGAAGCTGTTTTCTCATGCCTTTATAGATGCCCAGTAGTTATCTGATTCTAGCGACATAGGGATGGGATAGAGATGAGGCAGGACCTCCAAATAATCCAAATAATGTAAGGGAAATATAACTCCTGACTTGGTAGATGTCTGCTACATCAAGTTCATGTCCTCTAAAAATCAAAGAATGAATTCTAGGAACAACAGAGGTTCAGAGCATGAAGCATTTATTGAGAAAAAGATAAATTCTGTCTAAGAGACAGTAGGAGGACCCAAATGGGTAGCCCAAGGACCCTACTTCTCAAGGGAGTTTTATAGAGCAAAAGTACGAGGTGAGGCAGGATCAAAGGAGAGACAAGTCTGAAGTATACATGGACTGAACAAGGACTTTTCCTGGAAGGGAAGGGCCAGGGAGGTTTTGGTCACCCACCCAAAGTGACTGATAGCTGTTTAGAATATCAGTCACTGAAGTTCATCCTTAGCGAAAGTATATGGATGCAGTCATTTCTCTATCTTAAGGCCTGACCTTCAACAAGTGTGTCTCCAGCCACAGTTGTCTTCCATACTGACTTTGCCAAGAGCCTAGCCCTGTTTGACTGCCAATTATATTTCTAAAATATTCTAAATCACTTAGCTGCCTAGTACACTAGGAATGCAACACCTATCAGAGCTGATGCCATTTTGCAGAAAGCCAGCTGAGGGAAACACCTGCAAACAGCTGCTTTGGAAGAAGTCACAGCCTGGATGAGAATTCATGGTCAGGCAGCAGGAAACAGGCGGGCAGACTGGATTGCGGGCCACCTTCGCACTGCTACTACTTTACCCAGCACTGGACCAGATTCTCCACTTCCTGCTCCTTCATCACTGGTGGCTGCAATCCCAAGACCAAGTGCAGAGGAAACCGAAGGAGCTCATTTATAGAACATAAGTGCAGGAGGGAAAGCGGTCACGGTACTGCTGCATAAGGAAGCCTTGGAGTTCATGGAAAGCATCTGGCTTTGTTTTGCTTGCACACTCGGTTGGACACCAGACAGCAATGGTGGTTATTTTTTGAGCACTTGGGGGGAAATATATTTTTTAAGTTAATGTGGGCCATCAATTCAGCCTCATTTTTAGTTCTGACTTTTCTTTATGCTTAGACCTCAAACTGAATTTCAACTAGATGTTTCCTTCAGTAAGTAGGGACACAAATTACTGTTGGTGATGGGTCACACGCTTTTATGGATCCTACAGCTACAAATGTCACCTTGAAAAACCACACTCCTGGAAGATCCACCAGTGCCTGAGAAGACCAACAAGAAGCTGGCTACCACGAGAAGGCTCCATGACCTACCCAGATTCAGGAGCAGAAAACTGGCAATGAGAAAATTGCAATGCACACAAAACGTGCTGGCCAGACACAGACAGGCATCCAAACCAACATTTGGAGCTATCAACCTCCTTTTTAATGTTCTTTCTTTTCTTTTCTTTTTAGTTCTGAAGGTTTCAAACAAAGGCAGCAAGAAGAGGCTTAAAAGGAAGAGAAGAAGGGTGTTCTCTACTCCCTGACACAGATGATTACTAGAAAATTAAAATTCAGAATTATACTTCTGATACTGAGTCATTTTGTTGCTTCTATTCTTTTCCAGGCTTTCCTAATTTTCTACATAAATGGTTTCTCATAAGCAGGAGGAGGGGGAAATATTCTTATTCTCTATATTTATTTTCCTCCAAAATTCTAATAGTGTTTAGATAGTGGGTTTGGAGATAAAGAGATCAACTAGGTTCCTGACTTTCAGCAGAGAAGAATAGAGATTTCAGAGAGTGATGGATTTATCTAAATCAATTTGGCTCCCACATTCTGGGAGAAAAGACTGGATACAGAAGCCAAACAGTAAGAGATGCCTACAGTGAACTTGTAATAAATAATGCTTTCTCTTTCCTGCATATGAGCACCAAAATGATAGCCCTCCCCCACAAGCGATTTTACTGTCTGTGTGTGCAAAATTTTATATCATAATGTTCTCTAAGATGAAACCTTCTGCTAATTTTGGTTGTTGCTTCTTATTTGCTTTTTCTGGAGACAGGGGTCTCCCTACATATGTCAGGCTGGCCTCAAACTCATGGTATCCTTATGCCTCAGCCTCCCAAGTGCTAGGAATATAAGTGTGTGCCACCACACCCAGCGTGTCATTTTGGTTGCTTCTTCTTTTTTTAAAAAATTTTGTTTTAAAGAGATTAAGACAAAAGAGGACATAACAATGCAGATCAGATCAGAACAATGCAAGTAACACAGCATTTTACCACAAGATAACCCATAATTAACAGTAACTACCATAATGTCTCTTTCTTTGAAATAGTTGAGCATAGCTTCATATACAATAGTATCAAACATAACAAAACAGTATAAAACCATTCAAGAGAGTGAAAGCATTACAGGGCTTTCAGAACCAAATAGCAGAGAATGAGCAATGGCTACTATATTATCTCATTTTCCATGGAAAATTTGTTAATACTATCACACATAATAATATCCAATAAGATATAATGGAATAGAACCAAAGGAAACAGAAAAACAAAAGCATAGTAGGACTTCAGAGTAAGATGATATCAAATCAGCACTGGCTATTCTAATGTCTTGTTTTCTTTAAAATAGCTGTTTATACTATCACAGAAAATAAAATCAAACAAAGTAGGATAAAACCATTCTAACTAATGAATGAAGACATTATAAGGCTTCAGAGCAATGTAATGGGGAATCATGATCACTATAAACTCTTATATACACTTATCATTTCTTACACTTAGGGAGATTATACGGTATTTATATATGTGAGTTTGATTTATTTCGCTTATGAGTATGGTTTCAAGTTGCCTCCATTTATTTATAAATATATCAACCTGATCATTCTTTATAGCTGAGTAGTGCTCCATTGTATAAAAATACCACAGCTTTTTTATTCATTCCTCAGTTGATGGACACTTGGGTTGTTTCCAAGATCTGGCTATTACAAATTGTGCTGCTATAAACATGGGTGCCCATATATCACTGAGGTATGATGTTTTTAGTTCTTCTGGGAATATGCCTAGAAGTGGAATAGCTGGAACAAATGGGACTTCCAATCCCAGC